TGCTGGTAACTGAGCTGCCAAAGCTGCTACTAGGCTACCTCCCAGATTTATCATGTCATTGCAAGGCAGGCTGTGACATCACTAGCTGGCATCAGCAAGCAGCCTGGCACACCACCCTGACCCCACCATACCCAATTCCACCTGTCCTCCTCCCCAGCTTGGCCAGGGTGATGTTTCCACCTCATGGCATCATCACCAGGCCAGTTATTGGCAGGAAGATGTCACCAGGCCACTCCCAGTGATGTCATCGAACCCTAGTCACCTGGAAGATGTCACCAGGGCATAATTGAAGCCTGCCCCACTGGTCCCCCTCCTCTGCCCCCCCTTCCCCTGTCCCTGGCACTGATCTCTATGCAACTGCCCAGGGCCCACACAGCCGGTACATGGGCCCCACCACGTCTACAGGGGAGCCCCACCCCTTCCTCACCATGGGGGGGGATCCCCTGTCCTGCCCTACCACCCCCAAACCAAGCCTTAACAGGCCCAGCATGCAGCGGGCACCTTGCTCAGCCCCTACCCCCTATATACATCCCCCCCACCCCGGTTCACTAAGGGGCACTCTCCTGTGGGGGACACCAACCCTCCTCCAAACACCCCTTGAGGCACAGCACTGGGGGTGGGACCCATATGCAAATATCTGCTCCCCGGTGACGTGGGGGCAGTCTGTGTGCCCCCCGACTCCCAAATGGTCTGAAAGGCCATGTGTATGAATAAAGCCTGTACAGCACAGCACAACCTTGCCTTTTTTTGGGGGGGGGGGGGCTGTACAAGGGCCAGGGGACCCCCCAGGCCCTTCCCCTTTTTTTTGCTGCTTCATGGAATCCCCCCAATACCTGGGGAGGGGGCGGAGGATCTCCATCTGGGAGGGTGGGGGTAAGAGGGGGTCCTTCTGCATTGAGGGAGGGGCATGGGGTGCCACCCCGGGCTGCTGAGTTAATGGCGGTCCCTAACATTACCCCCCAGATGTAGGGGGGGGCTCCCCAATAGTGGCCCCCTGCCATTCAGTTGCAGAAGGGGCTGCTCCTTTTGCAGGGGGTAAGCATAAAGCGGGGTGGCACAGCTTTGCTTCCTCCCCCACACCCCAGGTCCAGGGATCCCGGGCATGTGACAGCGGCTCCCATGCCCTGCCATCGCCCACACAGCCTTGGCCTGGATCCCAGTGCCCGCGGGCCTGTGTGTGGCTGGTTATGCAAGGACCTTTGGGGAGGAGGGGCCATGTGAGGAAATGCTCATGTACCCCCCACGAATTGGGCCCAGCTGAGTAGAGATGAGGGCAGGTGGGTGAGGGTTGGTGGCAGCTACCCTCCCCTCCCCCCAACCTAAGGACCACCCCCATCTCTTCTGTCCCCCTCAGAAGCCCCTCTCCCACTCAAGACCCCCCATCTCCTCCCCACTCCCCTAGGACCCGGCACCCCAAAACACCCCAGTGCCCCCTCCCAACTGACACTGGGAACCCCATCCTGTGAACCAGCAACCTGTACTAGGGGAGGATAGGCTACCCCAGCTCCAGCAAGAAAACCCAGGAGTCTTGGGTCCAAGTCCACCTTCCAGCACCACACACACTGCTCTAACCACCAGTCCCCACTCCCCTCCTGTATCCTGCAATAGACTCCCTCTCCATGCCCCCAACTCTGCACTAACCACTAGGCCGCATTTGACTCCTAGAGGCTGGGAGAGAACCTAGGGTCTGCGTTGGGAGTGTGACTCAGGTGCTCCTAGGCTGGCTGCAGGCTGGGCCCTGCCTTCCCTGGCTGGAAGTATGTGGGTAGTGGTGGGGACATATTTTGCCCCCACTTCCTGCAGGGTGGGGCTGCCTGCAACTTCCTGTCCTCCCTCCCCCACCCACCAGTGCCCATGTGAGCTGGGTTACAAGTACCAGGTCGGAGCCCTGGGCATGCAAGGGTTAAAGGTGCCCTTTCCCACCCCCCATCAGTTCCCTGCCCCTTGGGTGGTACTTGAACCAGGAAACACACCCCTGCCCAACCCCCAGCCAAGGGGGCAACCCAGGCTCCCAGCCCCACTTTCCCCCTCCCCGAGACCCCAAAGTTGTGGAGGGAACACAGGCATCCAGGCTCCCAGCCCCATCCTAGGACACCCTCATTCTCTTTGCACCCACCCCACCAAAACCCAATGGGGGTTACTCTGCCCCCACATCAGCAGGTCCCCCCCAGCTATGACCCCCCCATCCCCTGCCAGTGATATCCCCCCTCCATCCCATCAGCTGGGCTGCAGCAGTGTTGCCCTGGCAACAGGCTGGGGGGGGGCTATGACCTACTTTCACTGACATGTTCCTCCTGCCTGTGCTAAGCCAGGATTATCCCACACTGACCTGGAGATTGTGGGGTGGGAGGGAGCCCGGACGTCTGGGTTCTATCCAGCTCAGGGAGGCCAGTGGGTTTAGGGGGTTGGGAGGGAGTATCCAGATACTTGGGCTCCAGTTTCAGGCCAGGACTGCAAATGCACACACACATTCAGGGGAACTGTGCAGGGGGCAACGTGTATTTGTAATGCATGTGCGCGCGCATGTCTGTTGTATTTGCACTGTGTATGTGCTCCTGTTGTCATGTGTGTTGATTTTTTGGCTGTACCGTATGCATGGTATGTGCATTTATATTGGTTTTTTGCATGTTATGTGTGTGCTGCACATAGTGTCCAAGCCTAGCATGTCTGTATTGTTATGCATGTCACACGCCTGCCTCCAGGTGCAGCCATCCTGAGCCCCTGGGGCTTGCATTCGTGTTGCATGTAATATGCCTTCTCTACACCACATGCTGCTGTGTTGCGTGTAACATGCCCTTTCAGCACATCAGCATCCGTGTTGTGCAACGTACCCTCTCTGCACTATATACCAGCATCCATGTTGTGTAACATGCCCTCTCTCCACTGTGTGCCAGCATTTGTGTTGTGCGTTGCAGCTTCCTTGCACCACACACATGGGTTAAATGTGCGCGGCTTTGTACAGCCATGCTGTACGCGTGTATGAATGTGCTGTGTGCAACACAGCCTACACACGGGTTATGTGGGCACTGCTTCACACTACTGCGCTGCATGCGTGTGCACCTGTGTGCATGAGTGTGCTGTGTGCCATATATCACTCTGAAACCTGGTATTCTCCATGCTGTCCCTGCCCCCCCCAGCAGGGTAAGTGGGGGGCTGGAGGCTGATCTGAGCCACAGAGGAATTCCCCCTGCCAGTGTTTATGCTCCTGCCCCAGGGCCCTGGCGCTGCCCTACTTACCTGCCTGACCTACTAACGCTGGGAACCTGGCTTGGAGCAGGGGGGAGAGGAGCTGCCCAGATGCTTGGGTTCCCTAGCCCCCTACAGCCCCCCAGCGGGGGAAGGCACTCCCCACACACACACTGACTCCAAAGCCATTTGAGAAAGAATTTGGGGGCATTTATTCTGATTCCATTTAAATACACAGTGGTCTGTCCCCCCACCCCCACCCCGATACACTCAGCCCATGCCCCCCTCAGCCCCTCCCTGAGCTCCCACATGGCCGGATGGGGTGTGGTTGGTGATGGGGGGACCCCCAAAGCTGGCAGTTTAGGGCCTGCTTGATTCTCAGGGGGCCTCTGAAGCTGGCAGGGAAGGTGTGAGACCCCCAAATCCCCCCCTTTGCTTGAGTGGGGGAAGTTGGTCCTCTGAGCTCCAGTGGAATCCAAGCCAGTAGATTCTGAGCCCAGTAAGATGAGGGGGGCTCTCCTTGCCCCCAGATCCCAGGGAGATAAACACCCTTCCTCTGCCCAGATTCCCAGATCCAGTCGATCCTGTCCCTTGCACAACAGGGAGATCTCTCCTCTCCCCAGTTCCCCACAAACCCTGACACAACAGGGGAATCTGCCCCCTGCCACCTGGATTACAAGCCCAGTGAATCCCAACCCAAGCAGGCCAGGGTAGGGAGATCTTTTCCTCTCTCCAGATCCCCACAAAACAGACCCCTCTCCTCCTCCCAGGATCCCAGACCCAGGAGATCCCATCTCCAGCAGAATAAGGGGGCTCATCCTTGCCCAGATCTCTCAGGCCAAGTGGATCACAGGCTTGGCAGGATTGGGGGGGTACTCCTTGCTCACTGGATCCCAGCTCAGCAGATGGGTCTCCCAGCCCCTATGGGTGCCAGGCTGGGCACTATCGCTTTTGTAGGGACCACCCCTCAACTCCAGAGCTAGGGGGGGTCACAGGTCCTGGGGGGGAACATCAGGTGGGCCGGGCCCCATCCCCCCATCCCCCTGCCACATCGCCAGGTGGGGGGCCACGGCACAGCAGTCTCTCCAGGGCACCAGCCCCTGAGGGCTGCCCATGACGGAGCAGGGCCTGGCGCACCAGAGCAGCCATCTCTTCTGGTCTCTCGCCTTCCCACGCAGGCGGTGCTGCCCCCCCACCCCCACTAGCTTGGACCCCTGGCACGGCAGCAGCAGAGGGGGGCTGAGGCAGGGGCAGGAGCAGGAGAGGTGTGGGGAGGGCTGGCTCCTGTGCCCCACTGCTGTGCGCCCGGCCCTTGAGGCGTAGTTTGTGGGGCAGGGCAGCCATCTTGACGTCCGGAGGGCTGTCACCACCGGCTGGGGGACCACCCCAACCCGGGTCCTCCTCACTTGAGTAGCCCCCAGCCCCTTCCTCCACCAGGAAGCCAGCAGGGTGCGAGGGGTACCCAGCTACCACTGGCAGGAGGGGTGCCCCACAGGCCTCAGGGAGGGCAGCAGGCGTGGACGCGGCGTGGTAGGCCTCATCACTGCAGCAACCAGGGGTGTAAGGCCCATAGGCCTCATCCTCTTCCATCTCAATGGCCCTTGGAGGGGCTGGCGGGGGCCCGCTGGCACCAAACAGAATGACACTGCGGGGACCAGAGCCGGGGGAGATCTCGGGGGGGCCACGAGCCCGGCTGGCAGCCTGGGCTTCGCCCCACGTCTGTGGCACGGGGCTGTCACGTGAAGACCCATCTGACATGTCTGAGAGGGACCCGCGGGGCCGAGACTCAGTCTCAGAGGAGTCATCGGAGCTGGGGGTGGGAGCATGGGGATCGTAGGTTGCGTCAGCCCCCATCCCACTGCCTCGGCGCCGGCCCAGCTGGCGGCTCTGCTCTACGAAGGCGGCGGCACCAAGGAGGCCAAAGCGCAGCTTGAGCTGCAGCAGCTCGGCCCGGAGCCGGGTGTTCTCCTCATGCAGTGCCAACACCCGCGTCTCCAGCGCCAGGTCCTGACAGCGCCGTTTCTCCCGCGACCGCTTGGCAGCCTCGTTGTTCTTGCGCCGCTTCTCCCAGTAGCTCGCGTCCTTCTTCTCAGCTGCGATGAACTCCCGCTGCCGCCGCCCACCTACCCCTGCTCGCCCCTTCAGCCCCCGAGACCGGGGCAGCCCTGCCTCAGGGGCAAAACACAGCCCTTCCATGCCTGGCCCTCGAGGCGGGGGCTGGAGAGGGCTGTGGCGCCGATGTATGGCCCTCTGGGGTCTGGACAGTTGGACTGTAGTGATGGACTATCGCACTCAGGTCTTCAGCACTGGAATATTGCCCCCTGGAGCAGTTTATTGCCCCTGGGGGGAGGCTCTGCCCGTTGATTCTTGCCCTAAGAGGTCTTCAGCACTGGAATATTGCCCCACAGGGGCTGTAGTAATGGAATATTGCTCCCCAGATAGGTGCTTCTGGTATATTGCCCCTGGTGAGGGGGTGGTCTCTGCTAGTCGACTCTTGCCCTAGAGGTCTGAAGCACTGGAATATTGCCCTCTGGATCAGCTCTGACCTCTGGGATCTGGTGGGTGGTTCTGTACGGCTGATATTGTCCCCTGGAGGGCCCTGTACTTCTGGTATATTGCCCCTGGGGGAAAAGTGCTGCCAAGGGTCTTTGCCAACAGAATATTGCCCCTCTGGAGGGTCCTTACTGCCAGTATCCTGCCTCTGGGGGGTGGTCTATATTGCTTATGAGTTGTCTTCCGGGTGTTGGCTGCTGGAAATCCGGCTGCACGCGCTTCAGTGTCACTCACCAGGTCCCAGCACCGGATGGGCTGGCCTTGTCTCGTCCTGTTGCCTGCAGGGTTAGGAAGCCCCAGTACAGCATGGGCATCAGGCCCCCCCGAGCCACCCCATGCAGGCAGAGAGCAAGGGCAGCATCCTTGCGGCAGCTGCAGGGTCCTGTCCTGGGTGGGGGCTGAGCCTTGGGGCTGTAGCAGGCAAAGGCAGGAGCTGGAGCAGAGCAGGGCTGCACCAGCCCTGGGGAGGACCAGAAGGAAGAAGAACCTAGGAGGAAGGACCGGAGGCAGGTTGGATACCTGTACCCAGCACCCAGCCTGGCACGCCCCCTTCCCCTCCGCACCCCACGCTTGCACAACCTGGCAGGTCTGAGCAGCGCCCGCAGACACCAGAGACACAATGTGCACCGTGCACACACACACTGCACCCACTGCACCACACACACACACACAACACAACAGATACACTGCAGAAGACACACTGCACCACACAACAAATACCACACACACACGCATGCTGCACAACAAAAATACACTGAACAGACACACTGCACACATACACACACACTGCACCATATACACAAATACATGTGTGAGTACTACACAAAACATATGCTGAACAATGGACACTGCACCACACACTGCACAGTACACCACATATGCTGCACACATGTTGCACCACTCACACTGCACCACACAGGCACACTGCACCACACAAATATACAACCCCACTGCACAGCACAGACTACTCCACACTGCCCCACATGCTGAACACACACTGAACATGGCATACAACGCACCCACTGCACAACAGATACACTGTGCCACATACACACAGCACCATACATCCGGAGCCCTAGACCTGGCAAAACACAGCCATGACACCACCCTTGTTGCAAAGGCTCCCAGTGGCCAGGGGACACCCCCTGCCCCCTCCCCTAGAGGGGCCTGAGTGGCACAAAAGCAGGGGGGGGGGGGGCAAGGGGCCCCCTGCATCATAACCACCCCCCAAGCTCAATGCCATGTGTGGGGCCAGGCACAGCACCACCCCCCCTTCCCAACCACATGACGCCACCGCAGCAGACGCAGGCAGCAG